TTGCCGGTCTAGACACAGCCTGTGTCTAGACTGCTTTCCTCTTCCGAAAGAGGAAATGAAAATGAGGAAAAAGGAAATGCAAATGAAGCACTGATTAGCATGTTTGCACGCTTCATTTGCATAGCCTCTTCTGATCCTTTTTTTTGGAAGAATTTTTTTCAAAAAAAAAAAAAAGCAGGCTAGATCCCTTCTTCCTCAAAACACCCCTGTAAATCTCGTGTTTTGAGGAAGAAGGGATCTAGCCTGCTTTTTTTTTTTTTTGAAAAAAATTCTTCCAAAAAAAAGGATCAGAAGAGGCTATGCAAATGAAGCGTGCAAACATGCTAATCAGTGCTTCATTTGCATTTCCTTTTTCCTCATTTTCATTTCCTCTTTCGGAAGAGGAAAGCAGTCTAGATCCAGCCACAGTTTCCTTCATAGGGAAGTTCCCATGCTGGAGTGCTTAGACACATGAAATTTACAAACTTTGCAGGGGAAAGATGCCCTCGCCTTCCAAGCGTAGATTCTGCCAGTTCCCCACAGCTGTGATTCTCAAATTTGTGATCATCTGAATGGATTTCATGTGCTCCATTACATTTGTTTAGGTTAGGCTGAATATCTTCTGATCTGGCCCCCCAGCATCCTGCAGCGCCCCCGCACACAGCTCAAAGCAGCTAGCTGTGGGGCCCATGTGCTTCTCTGTGTAACACCCCCCACCTAGGGGGAGAGCTTCGTGCTCTGCCCCTGTGCCCAGCACAATCTTGCAGCTCCCATTGGCTGGAAACCAAGTGCTATGCAGTGTGCAGGCACATGTGGCCCTCCTGCAGCCATTCGCTTTGAGTGACTTGTGGGGGTGCGGCAGACAGGAAGCCTGCCCGAGGGGACCATTGGGCTTCTGGCAGGGAGCTGCCTAAGGGATGCATCTCCCAGCCAGAGCCTGCACCTGGCCCCTTACATCCTTCTTCCCCCCAGCACCTTGCCCCAGGTCACAACCAATGTTCCCGCTAATCTTTTTTGTCCAAGTGCGGAATCAATTTTTTATGTGCACTGAGGCATGTGCGAATGTGCACCCCCAGGAGAAACACAAACCTAGCTGTGGGTGCTCTGCTAATCAGCAGGGTGGCATTTGAATTTCTCCTAAGCAGCCACACAAGGGCCCAGCTGTCAGGGAACATTGGTCATGATCTCCTCCCAAGACCCCACACCTCCTCCATTAATATCATAGGAAAGTGTGGCCCTTGACCACTCACCAAATTCTTTGAGTGCCCCCCTTAATATCATAGGAAAGTGTGGCCCTTGACCACTCACTAAATTCTTTGAGTGCCCCCACCCTTGAAAAATTATCACCCATCCCTGGTATACGGCCACCCCGCTACTTAGGAATTTTACCACAAAATGGTTTTTGATGGAAAATACTGGAATTTTCTGATTTTCCATTCGAAAAATAAAAAAAATCAAAACAAACCTAATTTCATTTTAAGTCAGTTCTTCAAGAAAGTGCATCAGCCTGGTGCTATGGAGCTTCATGGGAGACCTACATCAGATTTTTCTGGTGCCCAGACGACATCATCCAGGATGCATGGCAGTTTCCTCTCTGACCAAGCTGTGTGGTGCATCATGGGAATCACATTTGGTTCAAAACACTGAAACTAAATACTGGGATAACTCACAGGATGGAAAGCCTGATTTTTGCTTTGCTTTCTATGGCTGTTAATACCAAGAGCTCAGCAGAGAACAGGTTAATCTCTTTCACTCCCCTGTTAAAATCAAAGATGGATGGTGGTGGGAAAAGATTAAAACATGAATATTGTGATGCCAGTCGTACCTGCTGGGACAATGACTCTCCTCTCATTTGTGGTCATGTTTGGGGGAGGGCCATTCTTTTCATCCATATAGGTGTTGTAATTCATCGGGTTGGACTCCGTCCCAGCGCCCACCAGTTTGCCGCATTTGTTGACGCTGCAATCGACCGGGGACTCCCTGGAACAGGAAAGGAAGCAGACATCTGGTCAACATGGCCCTGGTTGACCCTTCCTCCCTGCTGAAGCTAAATGATGGGGGAAGAAGGTGCTGCAGAAATGGCCATGAAGGGGGAGCAAGTTGGAGGTTAGAAACGGGGAGCATCTGGTTGTCTTGCACATCTATATCACCTGTCCTGGGACAATCCCAGGTAATCTACACACCATAAACCTCAGCAGGAGGGTACTAATTATTGATTTTTTTTTTAAACAGAAGGATAAACTCAATCAAACAGCATCCTGTTCAGGGATGCTAAGCTCCCCAAATTCCAGCCTAAGTCAATAACAGCTGTAGAGGGTCAGCACCTCTGAAAAATCAGCTCCACGTGCCTGGCGCGAGAATGAATAAGTCAGTAGCAAAGTTGGGATCCCAGCAACCCAGACTCCCCGTCCTTCAGCCATGGACCATGCAACCTCCTCTCCTCCCTTCATGTGAAGCAGTGAGTTCCAGCCTACACCTCAGGGCATCACCTTTACTGGAGACGTCCCGCATTGCCTGACGTCATGTCTGTGTCTTCAATACAGCACATGCGGCCTTGTCTTAGGAGCCCCCATTGGTTTGTTTCACTCACTTGTTGGGTGGCATCAGAACCTGGATGGTGAACGTGTGGGGACAAGGATGGTCTGTCACTGGTTTGGTTCATTGTATTGGGTTGGTTGGTTGTTTTTTTACGGTGTATCACCCCGGTACCTCACACCAAGCCTTGAACTTTGAATAATACCTTTGAATAAATAATGAAAACGACAACACTCCCTCTCCATTTCTTTATTAAAGGGCACCGAACATCCACCCCGGAAACACAGAGCTACAAGATGCTCCCAAAAAGATAATAAAAAGGTGACAGTGCCTAGAGATTCAGGCCTCGTCGAGCTGGATGCTCATCGTCCATGTAAGCCATTTGCGAACGTGTGCTGGACGGCCCCTTCTGTGCTGATGTGCAGAGGACAGCTGCCCATTACAGCTGCTAGCTGAGACTCCTGCGCTCCAGTAGCTCATGCTGTAGAGATTCCCTGGTTTAATTCTTGGTTTGTCAGGGATGGCAGCCAACCCATATCCACAGAAAGAGGTGGGCCCTGGCTGAAGAACTCATAATGTAAATAGCGAAGAGGGAGTTGCCATCATTTTACACATAGGAAACTGAGGCACGGGTGGATTTCTTTTTCAGGCCCTGACTTTTAAAGGTATTTAGGCATGCTGGTGCTCAGTGTTGCAGCACCTAATTAACGTATCAACCTAGGTCTCATTTCCCAAAGGAATTTAGCCAAAGTCCCATTTACGGCCAATGACTTTAAGGTTGGAAGTGCCTAAATCACTGCTGAAAATGAGACTGAGGCTCCTCAGTCAGAGCGGCAGTGAAATACTGAGCACAGCAATCTTTACATGCCTTTAGAAATCTGGGCCAAAGAGCATAGCCAAAGCAAGGACTGAACCCAGATCCCCATCCAGGCTCGCTGATGGAGGGGGGCAAAGGGGACAATTGCTCCAGTGATTCAAAGGGGCCCCGAACGCCGACTGCCACCAATGCCTCAGTCACAGCAGTGGCAGCTGCAGCCCGGAGCCCTTTAAATCACCACCAAAGTGCCACGCAGAGCACTCCTGGCAGCACTAAGGGCTGGGGGGTGGGGTGGTGGGGAGGAGCCAGCGCTGAAGGTTGGCTGCCCTTGGCCAGTCCCCTTCTGCCCTCAGCCCTGCCCCTTTCAGGAACACGGAGCCAGGCCCTGCCCCACTTTGCCCTGGGTCTGGGAGGCTCCGCTGCTTAGCCACATGACCATCCTTCCTCTTTACAGGGAAGCAAGCAAAGGAGTGCGTTGGGAGGAAGCTGCTCATGGCAGGGTAAAGACCATGTGACCAAGTCTGCAGGGTTTTCTAATGTAGAACAGTAAATGAGTTTGTTTCTGAATCTAAAGGCAAGTGGAAGAATTACTGAAGTTTAGTGATCACGACTGGGAGATAAATACTCCACTGAGAGATTCCGAGGCAGATGGTAATTTTTTCCTCATGTCTTGCTGGGGGAATGTGGCTTGAAAATGGAAATAAGATGTATAACTTACACATGTTTGAATTTAAGGTTTTACTATTTCGCCTACTGTTTTTCCAGGCAGAGGACCAAAATCCACCTTCGGAGAGGCAAACTGCTGAAGGTTTAATGTCCCATGGCAGCCGGAGCAAGGTCTGAGCAACTGCTGGGGTGTCAGGCTCTGCAGGGAGTCTGAAGAAACCGGACCTTCCCCTCAGAGTGGTCTCTTGCAGCAGGGAGCCCTGTGTTCTCCTCGGAGGCACAGCCTGCTTGAAATAGCAACAGCATCTGCGCTAGAGCCCTAGCACCCAATCCTGTGTGGCGCTAGTGGTCTCGAGAGGTGCTTGGCACCCCCAGACCCCCACTGGCTGCAGTAGGTATTGAGGGGTTCTACACTGTTCAGCAATTGGGCCTTTCAGCATGGATTTTTGTGGATCATTTGATGGGCCTGATCCCAATCCCAGACCCTAGCACTCCTAGATTTGAGGACATTTCAATTTAAGGTGAAATCCTGGCTCCATTGACATCCACGGCAAAACTCTCCCTCACTTCAGCAGAGTCGGGATTTCACCTCAGGAATCTACTTTACTTCTCACACAGCATCTGTCACCCTGCTATCTGACCAACCAGCCTGCTGTAATGGACTGACCCTAACCCCTCTGTTCTCCACTTTATTTCCCTTGGAAAACATTCCTCCTACTCAAGCTTTTCTCTGCTCTACAATAGAGCAATAACATATACATATGTGTGGTCATATGTATCTCTCCTGTGAATCTCTCTCTAACAACCCAATCTGCATTAGATAGAAACACACCACAGTGCTTTTTAATAGAGTAATCCAACATTGTTATGTATGCTAAAAGCTCCTTAGAGAAGAGAGAGTTTCTTTATTCTATCTCAATGTACCCTGCATGCCTGTGGTGCTGTATACCCATGTAATATTAATAATGTTGTAAGATGCATTTTCATTATGATTTTGTACCTAGCAAGAATAGACCTCTCCCCCTAGCCAAAAGTCTAGCATAGAGGGGGCAGTGCTGGTTGGAGGACAGCAAAAATGATTAGGGGGCACAGGCCTGAGGAGTAGAGGCTGAGGGATTTGGGCTTATTTAGTCTATGGAAGAGAAGAGGGAGGATTTGAGAGCAGCCTGCAACTTCCTGAAGGGGGGTTTCAAAGAGGATGGAGACAGGCTGTTCTCAGCGGTGACAGGTGGCAGAATGAGGAGCAATGGCCTCAAGTTGCAGTGGGGAAGATCTAGGTTGGATATTAAAAAAAGCTATTTCCCTAGGAGGGTGGGGAAGCACTGGAATGGGTTCACTAGGGAGGTGGGGGAATCTCCATCCCTAGAGGTTTTTAAGTCCCGGCTTGACAAAGCCCTGGCTGGGATGATTTATTTGGGGTTTGTCCTGCTTAGGGCAGGGGGGTTGGACTTGATGACTCCTGAGGTCTCTTCCAATCCTAGGATGCCAAGTTATGTAATTACTCAAGTTGGTATTTGGCAGGAAAACTTAAACTACCTGATGGTTGAGAAGAATGCCATGAACTCTTTAAAGTTCACAACTGGGCAGGATCTTTACTTTCATCACCACTTATTGCATAGCGGCCCCTACCACCAAACTGGACATTAGCTCAGTGACTGACGCAGCGTTCCCCAACCAAATCGCATTTGCAACACCTAGGGTATGTCTAGACTGCACCCCTCTGCCGGTAGAGGGATGCAGATTAGGTAGGTCGAAATTGCTAATGAAGTGGGGATTTAAATATCCCGCACTTCATTAGCATAAAGACGACCGCCGCTTTTTTTCGGCACGGAGCTTTGTCGGAGAAAAGCGGCAGTCTAGAGGCTGATCTTTCGCTAAAGAAAGCCTTTTCCAATGGATCCCTTATGCTTCGTAAAACAAGGTATATGGGGTCTATTGGAAAAGGCTTTCTTTAGCGAAAGATCAGCCTCTAGACTGCCGCTTTTCTCCGACAAAGCTCCGTGCCGAAAAAAAGCGGCGGTCGTCTTTATGCTAATGAAGTGCGGGATATTTAAATGCCAACAGAGGGATGCAGTCTAGACATGCCCCTAGATTTCCCATGGAAGCTTCCCTCCCAGTATTGTCCCAGCCTGGCCTTTTTTCCCCATGGAAGCTTCCCTCCCAGTATTGTCCTGTCCTGTGACAGGAAATTTGATGGGATCCCAGGAGAAGGTGGTGCATGTGGGCTAGATGACGAGGAATATAGTAAAATAACGACAGCTCAGAAAAGAAGCAGGAGAGCCATTCACAGCGAATAGTTTATTCTCTGAACACAGCCCCAGTTCTCCGTGAGCAAACTTAGATTTTTATCAACTGTTCAAAACTGTTCATGTGATTCTGTTTCAGCCACTGGATTGCTTCTCCAAGGCTTCAGGTTTACAAGAAGCTGCACAATCCGGTATGAACTTTCTCGGCCGCAGCCGGAGTGGGTGCAGGTCATCATAGATCTACGGAGTTCAGTGGAGCTCAGTCTATTTGCAGTGGTTCATTTAGGGGCGCCCATTATGGAAGGCGGGAACCCAAAGAGCACAGAGCTGTGCGGATCCCAACACCCTTCATTCCAACAGCAACGTACTATTCCTGCTCCTCCCAAGAGCACACCCAGAGCTCAGTGTATTGGGAAGGGGTGGGCCGGGCTGGCCGAAGCAGACAAGCAGCTAGCCTGGTATTGGCTCCGTGCAACCTCATCCAGAGCTCCAGACATGTGGAAACAAAGCAACTACTGTATCAGGGCCTCGGTCTAGGAATCCCCCTTAGCTTGAGTTTGAATTAGCAACATAAGAGATTCCAGTGATTTCAGAAACTCATTCAGCCATGGCTGGCAGGAGATCACTACCTTTTCCCTCCTCCTTTCCTCTCCTCCTTTATCTCTTTTCCTCCCTTCCCTTCTGTTCCCACCTCTCTATTCCTTTCCCCACATTAG